CTCTCTCTCTCTCTCTCTCTCTCTCTCTCTCTCTCTCTCTCTCTCTCAGATAATTTCACGTTTGGGATTCTCAAATTCAGAATCACAAGCGGCTAGGACTAAACAGGGATTTTAAAGATCATTGCTTCCACCAATTACAGATGAGGTTCTGAGAAATTCAGCGCTTGCCTAAAAGTATGTAACTAGTGGCAAAGCCAATATTCAAGCCCCAATCTTTGGATGTCAAATTCACAGCTATTTCTACAACTCCACCCAGTTCTGGTGCTTCAGCTCAAGGCCATGTCATCAGGATGTGGAGCAAAGAAAACCCACTATTCTGGCTGAGTTTCCAGGAGCCAAGAGAATGGGAATAGGAAGAAAGAAGGAGAATCTTTTTAACTGGCATTCTTGGAAACTCGGGGGCCTGATCTACTGTCTCAGGAGAAGAGGGGTGACCCTTTGGTCATTACCTTCTGGTCCCTTTGTCACAACACTGTGATGTACACACTGCTGTAAGGAAAGATTCTCCCAGGGAATCCATAAATGGGGAAGGGGGCTTTATAGCAAGGCCTGTCATGGTGGTGGTGATGGGGTGCCACTAAAGTGAACCCATCAGGAGAAGATGGTGGTTTAATGGACAGTGTATTTGGATTTGAAGCCCAAAATCCCTGAGTTTGTATCTAAGCCCCAAAATTTATAAGCTGCATGACCTGGGACAAGTCATTTAACATTTCAGCCTCAGTTTCTCGATCTGTAAAATCTGGGGGTGGGGACCTGAATTCAGTATCCTTGGAAGCACCTTCTGGTTTACATATTTTATGAACTGAGGAAGGGCAGAGATTTGACTTCCTATGTTACTCCAGAAAGAAAGACCCCAGTTGTCTGAGGGAGAATCAGGACAACTTAGAAGAGGGAAGATGGGAGGGTAGATCTTCCTGACAAGCCCAGTTACAAGACCTTGGAACAGATAAGTGAAGGGAGCTGTGGAATTCCCTGCCCCAGAAGTAACAAAGCACAGAATAAATCCCTATCTGCATTGTTGGTGGCAAGAAGATGGACTAGATGACATCTGGAGGTTCCTTCCAGGACAGAAATTAATAGAAGGGTTAAGAGAGGAGAGGTTTTCTGTTTTGGGGTGGAAGGGAGGAGAGGTTGCATTCAATAATCCATCAAAGAGTTCAGAGACTCACAGGTTAGCATGGTTAGGAGCTGGCAGAGGTCTTAGAGATCATTTGATCCAACCCTCTCTTTACAGATATGGAAATCTAAAGCTGGGAGAGGGGAAATAATGTGTCCAACATCACACAGACCTGGGATTTGAACCCCTGTCTTCTGACTCAGAATCCAGTGACCTTATTAGTCTTTCACACCAGTCCCCCACTCTGAGACTTTCTTTTCCCTCCTCACACCCACTTCCCAGTTTTCTCTCATTTTAGAGTGGAGGAAAGTGAGGCTCAGAAAATGATCTATAGGATCCTCACTATTGCCATCCCAGGAAAAACAAAGGGGCTTCTCTGAAGGGCATTGGCCCAAGCTACTGTGAGACAGTCCTCCAGCACCTCTCGCCTTGAGCCCTGTACACTGTAGGCCAGACCCTGCCAAAGCACTTCTGGTCCAGATCTCAGGGTAGCCAGAGAATGGGGACAATATCACTTTATAACTTCCCTCCTTTCTTTGTCGCTCTGTGTCTCTGGCCATCTCTCTCTGTCTCTTGCCCTTGCTTCCGTTCTCTCCACACACTCCAGCTTCCCATGAAATTAAATGGAACTCAGCAGAGCCTGTGAGTAAAGAGAGAGACAGGGTAGGGTAAAGGGAAGAGAAAGAAATCGTGAAAAGAGAGGGCCGAGGAGGGACAGGCGGGGAGCGAGGGAGCGAGAAGAAGTTCTGGTTCGCCGAGTGAGTGAGGGTCTTTGATGAACCCAAAGTTGCTGGAACGCAGCGGGTGGAGAGCAGTGAACTCAAGGGCAGACTGAGTGATTCCCCCCCCCTCCTCCCACCCCGCCCCCAGGCCCTTTGTCCCTATCCAGCTGTGCCCTGCGGGGGAGGGGGGAAAGGGAGGGAGGGTTCGCGTGGCGGGGCCCCGAGGGCCTGCTGCGCTGATTGGCCCGTTGGGCAGCCAGCAGTGGGGCAGGCACGCTCCGGGCCCGGGCCGATAAGATAAAGCGTTCCGAGGTGGGCACACGTCTGGTGGCTCCGGAAATCCCCCGCTGTCCCTGGGGTGGCAAGCAAATATAAGGGAGGGCCCTCTGCTCCTACCCAACGAGTCGTGTGCTGGACTTTCAGCCTGCAGCGTTTCTGGTCCTTCCTCTGCTCTGACTCTTTTTCCTCCTCTTCCTCCTCCTCCTCCTCCTCCGTGTTCACCCGACCCCGCGCAGAGACCCCAGGAGGCCACAGCCTGCACCTCTCCTGGGGTGAGCAGGAGGACGGGAAGGCGGCTTTCGGGTCCGCCCCGGCTGTGCTCTGCCTCTTCCCCTCTGAGCTAGGTAAAACTTTTTTCTGGGGGCACCCCGAAGTCACGGGGTGAGGGGCGGCCGGGTATCCTTCTACACCAAGGCAGGTTCCCGGGCGTTTGGACCCTTCCCCACTTCCAGGGGCACTGGGGTCCCAGCTGGGGCGGGAGGGCAGGGGTGGGCGTCCCGCGGAGATTGCTCTTCCTGCCCACTACAGGATGTCCCCCAAGCCCGCCTGCGTGGTGACCAGCGAGCCGCCCTTTCCGACAGCTTCAGACGCAGCCACCGCCACAGACGTCGGGCTGTACGCCTCTTGTGCCTTGTCCCCGCCCGGCAGCCCCAGCCCTGCGCCGCCGCGGACCTGCGCCGAAAGCGAGGCCCGCGGAGCTCCCAAGAAGGGCAGGGCTCGGCGCGGGGGTCGCAGCCGGCCCAAGAGCGACGCGGCGCTAAGCAGACAGCGGCGTAGCCGGCGCATGAAAGCCAACGATCGCGAGCGCAACCGAATGCACAACCTCAACTCGGCGCTGGACGCGCTGCGCGGCGTTCTGCCCACCTTCCCGGACGACGCCAAGCTCACCAAGATTGAGACGCTGCGCTTTGCGCACAACTACATCTGGGCGCTGACCGAGACGCTTCGCATGGGGGACCACGGTCTCCGGGGGCTAGGGCTGGGCCTGGGGATGGGCCTGGCCCCACCGCCGCTCCCTTCTGGGGAGCTTAGCAGCCCTGGCAGCGCCTCCTCCGCCGCCGGGGAGTGGGGCTCGTTGTACTCTCCAGCCTCGCAGGCGGGCAGCCTGAGCCCCACCGCCTCTCTGGAGGAGCCGCCGCCCTTGCACTCAGCCGGCTCCCCGGTCTGCCTGGGCCCCGAAGTCCTGTCCTTCCCCGACTTTGTGTAGAGGGGCCCAGGAGAGCCTGAGAGGGAGTGGGCTCTTAGGGCTAACTCACACGCCCACGCGCGGGCGCACGCTCTGGGCCACTAAATATTCGGCCCGTTTCAGATTCTTCTTCCCCGGTCCCCAGCTTCTTTCAGGTTTGGTGGACTTAAGCATAATCTTTCTTCTCGAGCAAGCCAAGAATCGGCATGCCAAGAAGTGTCTGCAGCTTAGCCAACAGGTCCCACCGAGCTCCTACAAAGAGGACCAGATTAATAGTGCCAGAATCAAATTTACCTTCTCATGGCCACATGCTTGTCTGCCTGACCTGCTCTCTGCTGCCTCCTGTCTCTCTGTCTGTCCTGGTCTGCACATTTTTCTACCCCTTCGCATTTCCTTATCTCTATTGGTGTGTCTCTGTACGTTCCGTCTCTGTGTCTGTTTCTCTCCATGTCTCTCTTCCTATGTCTGTCTTGTTCTGTATGTCTTTGTCTTTTGCTGTCGTTTTGCATATGTTTCTGTTTCTCTCTTGCTGTATCTGTTTGTCTTTGTCTCTCTGTCTCTGTCTCTCTCTGTCTCTCTCTCTCTCTCTCTCTCACACACACACACACACACACACACACACACACATACACACACACCCTATTTTCATATATCCTAAGTGCTTCCCTCCTCCGCTTGGAGCTGCTTTCTTTCCCACTAGGAGCACCCCGTCCCCGCACCCTCCTACCCACCTCCATGGCTCCCGACCCCCAGCTCCCCTCTTACTCAATCGCAGGAGAAGATGCTCAGCCTTCTTCCCCTCTAGCACTTTCCGGAGCTGCCGCCGGCGATGGGAACGGTGGTGAGTTCTAAACTCCATAGAGCTCTGGGGCCAAAAGGCAGTGCCTGCGGCCATCGTTCTGACTTATCCCCGGGGCAGCCCGGCCCCCTCCTGGGTGGCGGAGGTAGAGACCCCAGCGCCGGACCTGGGGTGGACAATATCTCTTCTTGAAATCAGGTCTTGATTTTATGATGCCTTTTGGAATGATTTTTTGTGGGTACTCGGACACAGTAAATTATATTAATTTTTCCATTTTGTATTTATTAATATTTCATAGCAGGAAAATATATATTTTGTAAATAAGATTATTTTGACCTCGGTGAAAGCCTTTTGGTGCCAATAAAATAAATGGAAAAGACTGAGCAGGAGCTAATTAACTGAGCGACCGTCAAGGGATAAGGGTGGTCTGGGTGCAGGGCTTTGAGTCAGAGCTGGGAGGAACTTTAAAAATTATCTGGAGGTGAGGGTTCTTAACCTTTTCATGTCAAGGCCCTTTTGGATAATCTGAAGAAGCCCACGGACCCCTTCACAGGATCATGTTTTTAAATACTTGAAGGAAATGCTAAATTTCAGTTAGAGATTGGAGAAACTCAAGATGATTTTTTTCCCCCATCCAAGTTCATCTACTCCCACCTTGTCCCCGGGTTAAGAACATCTAAACTAGTCCAGCTCATTCACGTTTGATATATTAAAAAAGGAGACCCCGAGAGGGGAACGGAGTTGCTCTAGGTCACACACTAAGCGGAGTTGAGAGTTGAACCCAGGTTCTTTGGCGTTTAGAGGATTCCACACCTACCCAACGTTAGAGGGGAACAGGAATCTCTGTGGTTATTCCCTGTGGTTAATTGGAAGGTTTTATGGAAGGATGCATTTAAAGTTGGGGAGGACCTTTTTACAGAGGAGGAAACTGAAGCCTAGAGAGTTGAGATTTGCTTATGGTCACACAACTAGTAAATGGGAAAGTTAGGATATTAATCCCTTTCTTCTGACTCCAAATCCATCGATTTTGAGGTCAGATTACTCCGCCACCCCATCACACACACCATCCCCCCCCCCCAAAAAAATCGAGGTTACTCGGTTTTAGAATAACTGAAAGGTGAAGGGAGAAAGAGGGGAAGCTGGAGGAGTGGGCTGTGCTTAGGTTAGTGACCTAAGGCCCCTGTCCTAGAAGTTTTTCCCAGCCTGCTTTAGGGAGGGAGCCCAGGACCTGGAGGGTATGCAGACCCTAGACTGCTCCAGGGCTGCAGAATCCCTTGGGTTGAAGATTGGAGAAGGTGGGGTGCACTTAGGAACCCTATTCTGCTTGGTTTTAGGAGGTCAGTGGGTCATGCCCCCTCCGGAAACCCAGCTCCATTTTCCATTCCCTCCCCACAGCTGGGAATTGCTGTGGACTAGGTCTAGGCATTTACATCAGTGCTTGCTAATATCAAAGATCGAGTTGGCTTGGGGAAACTATAACCTGTAAGAAACTGTCTTGGTAAGAATTCTCTCAATAAAACCCAAGGTTTCACACACACACACACACACACACACACACACACACACACACCACCCATCTAGCCCTCAGTTTCTTTCTGGCCTGAAACCCACAGAATCACAAAATGTCAGAGCTTGAAGGACCATCTAAGTCAATCTCTTCATTTTATAGATAAGGAAATTAAGCCCCAGAGAGAAGTGACTTACCTGAAGTCCAACAGCCAAAGAAGCAGGTAGTGTGGTGGGAAGAGCCCTGGGTCTCTAGCCAGAGAAAGGTGGGCTTAAATATTGGATCCATTGATTACCTCTCATATTGGGCAAATCACCTCCTCACTCTGGATCTCAGATATCTCCTCTGTAAAAGGAATGGGTTAGACTAAATGAACTTTAGGGCCTCTTCCAACTTCAAGTCCCATGGTCATCCCTTGGGACTAATAACAAGAAAGAGTTTAACTAGAGGATGTTCTTTCTAATAGTCCCAGGTCTATGCATGCCAAATCAGGAGCCCTTTCTACAGCACACAACCTCTCCCCTTCTGCTTAGATCTAAGGGGAGGAGGTTGGGTTTCTTCCTCAGTTTCCCTGACTGGAAAGCCAAAGAAACAGGTGGGACCATTCCACTTGAACTGTTAAATCCTCTTCAAAGGGGATAATAGATTTAGAGTTAGAAGGGATCTTTGAGGTCATCTGTGTGTCAGCATTTAACACAGTGCCTGGCATATAATTGGCACTTAATAAATGTTTATTAACTGATTGATTCAACCCTTTCATTTTATAGTTGAGGAAACTAAGGCACAGAGTTTCCTTTTTAAAGTAACTTGCTAAAAGTGACTCAGATAGTAATAGAGATGGGATGTAAATTAGGGGTCCCTGAATCCAAATTTAGCATTTTTTTCTAGAGCACCAGCTTGCCTCAGACTTGGAAAGAAGACATCCCCCACCCCAATCTACCTTCTGACTCCAAGGTCAGCTGATGGAGGATGGGGAGAGGGGAAGACAGGAATGAAAGGACTGACACACTGAAGGTCTAGTGGTGTTCTGGGGTCTAATTTGGAATATTTCCATTTGGAGGAGGTGAGAGTAATCAAGAGAGTATATCCTCTGTATTTCTCTGTGTCTCCCTTCTCCTGTCTCCTCTTTCTGCCCTCCTCCTCCTCCCCAAGTCACCTACTAACCAAAGAGAAGATAGATTGCCTTAATGAAGAGCTGGATTTGGGAGGGAAGAGGGGATGGCAAACATGGGAATAAAGGAAGGTGTTGTTTAATTCCTAGGGATGTAATCAGGAAGCAGGAGATTAATGACTTCTTGATGGCGGCTGGCTGGGCTCAGGTGTAGTGTCAGGGCCAACTTTGCTCCCACCTGCAGCCCCATGCCTGAAGGCAGGTGTGTGGCCTAGTTTCACTTGGTGGTGGTGGAGGGGGGTGAAGATGAACTCCTATACATTGGCAGAAACTGGAAAGAGGAGGCTTTCTGTGGTGGAATTCTGTAATGTAAAGCCCCAGTTCACCACCACCCCTTCCCCTAATGTTCTGGTATCTCTGGAAAGCTGTCTTGCCTGGAAGAGAGGAGTACTTGAAACTGTCCTCCGGAATTGTAGGTGTGTAAACTTTATACTGTTCCCCCAGGTGAGTAGAAGCGATCAAGAAAACTTTCATCCAGGAATCATTATTCACCTGATAAATACAAGTTGACCTTCTGCCCCTTCCCCCCCTTATTTATTTAATTTAACTAACTAGGAGGGTGCTTAACTTCTGAAATGCAATAGGGCTACCACTTCTGGGAATGGGGTTGGGGGGAGTAAAAGAGAGAGTCTACTTATTGTGGTTCTCAAAATGTGGCTGGGGACCTATAGGAGGATCCTCAGACCTCCCTCAGGTCAAAACTATTTCCATAATAATACTTAGAAGTTTTCATTTCTAATGAGGTTAATATCAATAGACGTAACAACATGAACAAAGCTCTTTGAATTGTGGCCATCCCCACCTCCCCAATAAACTGTAGTAGCTTCCTATCACCTCCAGAATAAAATACAAAATTTTTGTTTGGCATTCAAAGCCACTTACAACCTGTTTCCTGACTACCTTTCTAGTCTTCTCAAATCTTACACCCCTATCCCATCTAGTGACACTGGCCCTCTTGCTGTTCCTTGAACAAAGTACTCATCTCCTGATTCCAGACATTTTCACTGACTGCCCCCCCATAATCTGAATGTTCTCCCTCTTCACTTTGGTCTTCTTGACTTCTTTCAAATTCCAACTAAAACCCCATATTCTTCCGGAAACCTTTCCTTATTCCCCTTAATTTTAGTGCCTTCCCTGTGTTAAGCATTTCCACTTTATCCTTTATATGGCTTGTTTGTACATCGTTGTTCACATGTTGTCTTCCCATTCCATTCTGAGGTCCTTGAGAGCAGGAACCCATCTTTTACCTTTCTATGTATTCTGGGTACTTGGGAGGCACTATATAAATGTTTATTCCCTTTCCCCTAGCCCTAGTAGGGACTTAATAAATGTTTATTGACCTAGGTGCCAATCCTAGCTCTGCTACTTGCCTAATACAATTCAACAAGTATTTATTCAGCACCTACTGAAACCATAGTCCCTGCCTTGAAAGAGAATCAGTCCTCTTAGAAGAAAGGGAGCAGTATGTTTACAAGTAAGTCCAAAATACTTACAAAGTAATGGGGAAGTGAAATCAATGATTCTCTACTTTATAATAAAAACAA